GGGGGGGCGCCTTTGCCTTCAGCTCCTCCGTTGCGGGTGGGGGGGGCGGCGGAGGCGGAGGGTACAATCTGGCGCAAACTCCAGGAGAGCGACACTGTGGAGAGAGGAGGTGCCCCCGCCTTGATCAGGAGGATGATGATGGTGTTGTTGTTGTTGTTGTTGTTGATGTTTCGCTCGTCCTCTTGACCCCGCGCTCGCTGTTCCCCGACCCCCGCAGGTCCGTGGAGGAGGAGGAGGGGGTGTGTCACCGCGCGGGGAGGCCGCTGTGGGAGCGAAGACGCGCGGAGGAAGAGCGAGAGACGCGGAGCGCCGAGCCATGGCCGCCCTGCGCTGGGCCGCGCTGGCGTACTGCAGCTCCCTGGCCGTCCTGCTGGCCAGCGGCAACTTCGTGCTGGACGGTAGGAGGCCGGGGCCCCGTCCGCCCTGACAGGCAGCTGTTGCCTCGGGTCTGTGGAGAGCGGGGGGGGGCGTGGGGATCGGGTCCCGGGAGCCTGTGATATCGAGAATCCTGTGAAAGGAAAAAAAAAAACTCGGCCGTCGGGCTCGTTTTTGGAAGTGATTCGGAGCGACGTGAACCGACGCTCCCGCGCAAAAGTAATAATTATCGTTATGCGACTTTGGCACCCTTTTTTTAAGACTTAACGAGATGGTTTCACAGGTGACGTCACCGCCCTTCCCTGTGATAGCAGGACCACAGCTACTGGGCTGAGAAGAGATCTCTCTTTGGCTCACGGGGCTAGGTCGCTGCAGAGAGACGCGGAAGTCCCGGGTTCGAGCCTCCAGTCGGGATGGGGCCGACCAGATGCGGCAAGGGCGCCCGCCTGAGCCCACGTTGCGTTACAGTATATATGTTTATATGCTGTTTTAGGCGTATGGGTATTCACGTAGAGGTTTCTAGGGTTTTGTGTATTTCTTTGTGAAAAGGGAAATACAGTTGTTAAAAATCGCGGCAGGGTGCGGCGTGCGACCGCGGCGCGGTTGAATCTGTGTGTGTGTGTGTTGGTGTGTGTGTGTGCGCGTCTTATGACAGCGTCCACACGCGGGGGATGTATTGTGGGGACCGAATGCGTAGCGTAGCCCGCCGTCCTGAGCTTTGTTCTCCACCCTACGGGGGGGGG